GTACAGTAGTGGCACTTTTATCTTGAGGACAATCAACAGCTATCTAATGGGACTTAAAGTCCATTCAATGGGCTATGTTTACAGTACTCCTGTGTGGTACTGTAAATACAGCCAAATACACATGGCTGGAGAGGTCATAGATCCCAGAGAAAATCCTGTCTGTCACATCCCTAAACATAATTTCTTACTGTATGCTAAATATGAATCCCTATATTATAGACAAATATACTTATTATCACTCATCAAAGAAGTTTCTTTTTGCAACAGATGGAGACTATTACAGAGTTCCACAGCTGGACAAACACAGAGAAAGAGTATCTGTGAGATGCCCAAGCCCTAAGTGGCACATCTACAATGGAACATTTACATCTTAAGGCTCACAGAACAGAATTGCATCTCTCAACTCTTTACCAGTGAGGCTTCCTCATACAACAGAGGGTGATGAACACAGAAGGCCACAACTGGCCAAAGTGTAGAGAATAAGAGAGTGCAGGGTGCTTGTCCCTAGATAGGACTCCTATATTAAACCTCACCCACCCAGGACTCAGGAACCATTGTGGAAGAAGGGGGGGGGAAGGCTATAAGAGCCAGGGGTGGTAGATGACCACAAAGAAACAGAGTCTTTCAGACTTCTGGAAACTTCCTCATTTGAGTTTACAGAAATGGTGACAACATGCACAAGACCCATGCAAACTCAAACCAGACAAAACCCAGCACAGAACTAGGGAAATGGGCAGTAAGCCCCAACTTTAGCCAAGGAACTATTGGGAGTTTATCACTGCTGGGTGAGGGAAAGTTGTTATTCTTTAAGGGAGTGATACTAGATAGGCTGACCAGGAGCCCATGTATGAACTCACACTGAGGGCCATCTGGGTACACAAACTTGACTCCATAGGCCTTAACATATATGACAAAATGCATGAAATCCAGAGAGTGGGCTATGGGGGGTACAGATAGGGGAAGGGGTCTAAATATGTTTAAGATTTATCATATGAAATGCACAAAAATTTAATAAATATATATATATATACATATATATACATTGAAAAAAAATTTCTGGGGGCTGGTGAGATGGTTCAGCAGTTAAGAGAACTGACTGCTCTTGCAAAAAATCCAGATTTGAATTCCAGAACCCACATGGTGGCTAACAACTGTCCATAATTCCAGTTCCGGGGGATCTAACACTCTCTTCTAGCCTCTGTGGGCACTGCAAGACACGGTACATATATATAGGCATAACATTCATACACATAAAATAAAAATAAATAATTTGATAAAATTTAAACTTTTCCACTCATTATCTCTTTTTGCTCAAGAAATTTTTATGTGAACCCACGTATAGAGACATATGAAACAGGTGTAAAAAAATCACAATTTTATTTTAAAACAATCCTTGGTATACATATAATTTCACCTTTTTTGTGGTCACCCTTTTTTATATTTTATTTATTATTTTTATTCTATGTGTATGAGTGTATTGCCTATATGTACGAGAGTGCACCCGTATCGTGCAATGCTGCAGAGGTCAGAGAGGGCTTCGGATTCCCCTGGAACTGGAGTTAAGGACAGTTCGTAGCTACCATGTGGGTGCTGGGAATTGAACCTGGGTCCTCTGCAAGAGCAGTCAGTGCTCTTAACCTGTGAGCCATCTCTCCAGCCCCTCATTTAACAATTTTTAAAAATGAAACTCAAGGCCGGGCTTTGTGTCACACACCTTTAAGCCCAGCACTCGGGAGGCAGAAGCAGGAGGATCTCTGTGAGTTTAAGGCCAGTCTGGTCTATATAGTGAGTTCCAGCCCAGCTAGAGCTACAGAGAGACCCTGTCTCAAAAAGAAAAAAAAAGAAAAAGAAACTCAAGTCAGTAATTCACACAGCAGTTTTAAAGTAAGCATTCTGTCAGACCTGGTGGCTCACACCTGTAATCCCAACACTCATGAGGCAGAGGCAGGAGGATTGCTGCAAGATTGAGGCAGGCCAGGGCTCCATAGTGAGAGACTTTGTCTCAACAAAACCAAAATAAACAAAAGTAAAGTACAATCACACTTTCTACTACCGCACAACACACATATGTACTAATTTGATGCTTACCTGCTGAGGAATGACAGTAGGAAAATATCAAAAGTCTTTGTTTTCTACAATTAAACCATTATTTTTCTATCACAAAAACTCTGTATGTACAATCAAAACCAGCAACTCATAACATACACTAGTTTAATATCTGAGCCAAAGTGTTTCAGCAGTGTCTGTTGGGGCTGTGTAGTGTAATACCATGCACAGTGCAGTGTGTATGTTGTACATTCAGAACAGAGAATGCAGTTAAGTTGCCTGCTACAATATGGGCCAGTGCTGCTAGAACTTATTATATGTTTGATTTTGAATTGCTATTTTGTCTTTATGTATTCAAAAACCTTTTACTGTTGTCAAACTTTAGCAACCCCCACATTCAGTCATGTGATTCCATATAGGCTTTTGGACCATAGTTTAAGAAGCTGGGTTCTAGGGCATCCATAAACAACTGAAATTATTTTGTTTCTAGCTGCTCAGGATCAGAACACAGATGGTCCCATTGCCAAGGGTCAGCTGGATAGGGAAGCGCAACTTCATACGGTCCAAGCTGTGTGGCTTTTCTTTCTCCCCTCTTCCCACTTTCTCCTACATAAATCTTTCCATTTTCTTAGATTGTCAGTCTATAGTTTCCCCTTTCTAGAGTAAATAACATGGAAATACTTAATGTCACTAGATCTTTGACTGTAGGTTTTATCACTTGCTAGCGGGGAAATGACCTTTGGTATGTGATTTAGTCTCCTGGTCCTCATTTTTTTTCTTTCTGTAATATGAGTTATAATAACCCCGCTTCTAGAATTCTTGTAAGGATTAAATGAAGTAATCCAGGTAAAGAGGTATTCACATGCCTGACATGTACTGACATATTATTGCTTCAGCCATTATCATTTGTTTCTATAACAAATTACCACAAACTTAGAACAACAAAAGATTATTCTCCTGCATTTCTCTAAGCTAAAAGTCACAGTTCAAAATTCCTTCTGAAGGCTCTAGAAGGAGGACCTTGTCTTTTCTCGCTTCCAGAGACTTCCTATATAAGCTTACTTCTTCAAAGCTTTTGGTGTATCATGTTCTAATCTTTCACTGACTTGACATTCTACTTCCCTGAGTATCCTTGTGATTACGTTTGGGTTCGCCTGGATAACCTCAAGCTAATATTTCCAACTCAGTGTCTTCAATTTAAAATCACACTTGCCAATTCCCTATCACACACAGGCATGTGCATGTACACACACACACACACACACACACACATACACACACACACACACATCCTATATCTCAGAATCTACAAATTAGATGTAGGCATCTTCAGTAGTAGTTTTTTTTGTTTTTGTTTTTAAAACCATGGCTAATTAGGCCCAGGTGTGGTGGCACATGCCTTTAATCCCAGCACTCAGGAGGCAGAGGCAGAAGGATCTCTGTGAGTTCAAGGCCAGCCTGGTCTACATAGTGAGTTCCAGGACAGCTGGGGCTACAGAGACACTGTCTCAAAAAGACCAATAAATAAATAAATAAATAAATAAATAAATAAATAAATAAAAACCATGGCTAATTTATTAAATTCAGCTAATCATCATTAAACTCCTTGAGGTAGATACAATTTTATTCTCATTTGGATATTGACACAGAGAAAATAAGAATTTTCTCAAGCTCACATTGCCAGTGAGTGGTGAAAGAGCAAATCCAATTCAGGAAATGATCTTCTGGAGTTCACAGTTTTAGTAGTTTAAATATACGAAGTGACCTATAATTAACACTATTAATGTGTGGCTTAGCTGCAGACACCTTCACTGGATGAGATAGATAAGGAGATAATAATCCTTATCTCCTATGGCTTTGTGACAATTAACCTGTGGGGAAAAAAACACAGTCCTGGCGCACAGCAGGTTCTCAAATAATATTTATTTATTTTTATTCTATTTGTATGAGTGTTTTTGTTGTTTTTGTCTTTTTAAGAGCAAGTCCAATCCAGGAAATGATCTTCTGAAGTTCATGTTTTTAGTAGTTTAAATATACAAAGTGATCTATAATTAACACTTTATTAATGTTACCTGGTACTTTTACTGAGCAACATAATAATCCTTATCTCCTATGGCTTTTATGACAATTAACCTGTGGGGAAAAAAACCAAAGTGCCTGGCATACAGCAGGTTCTCAAATAACATTTTATTTATTTATTTTTATTCTATGTGTATGAGTGTTTTTGTTGTTGTTTTTGTCTTTTTGAGATAGGGTCTCCCTGTAGCCCCAGCTGGCTTGGCACTCACAGAGATTAGCCTGCCTCTGCCTCCCCAGTGCTGGGATTAAAGGCATGTGCCACGACGCCTGGCTCAAGTATGAGTGTTTTGCCTGCATATAGAGAAGTATACTGCTATAGATCAGAGTTCACAAAAAAAATCACCAGCACCATTTTAAGGAAAGTAACAAGGTAAATGTTTATTATTTCGACCGCCAGGCTGTCTATCTCGGGAGTAGATACAGCCCTGATCATTGTCGGGTCAGAGTTTTTATAGGATTATAGAAATATTATTCAAACAGGACACTTGTGAATCAATCAGGTTTGTACAACATAGCAGAACTTTGAATCTATTAATCAACAACCAATCATTATACAGACAAGTGATACAGTCATATAACTTGGTAATCAACTTTGTTATTTTGAAATTAGTCAACTTCCTAGCCATAACACGTATAGTAAGAAAGCTGAACTCAGCAGTTACCAGGTGGCCATACAATAACAGGGTGGGCTTATACTTTGTGTCAAGGTGACCTAAAATAGCGAGTTACAGAAGCGAAAACAAGCAGCCAGATGTAGAATGTCTGAGATTACCAAGTTCCACTGGTTTGTGATTGAGCTATTTCTTAGAACTCAAGGCTTCTGTCTCTTTTTAAATAGTTTCCACAAGTGAAAAGAGGTTACTGTTAAAATAGCTATTCTGAGCAAGATGGAGTAACTTAGGTTAAGTTGCTAATGTAGTTCATACACCTCTGTGTGCAATGCCCACGGGGACCAGAAGAGGATATAGGCTTCCCTGGTACTGGAGTTATAGACAGTTGTTAGCTGCCAAGTGGGTGCTGGGAACCAAACCCAAGGCCTTTGCAGGAGTATCTAGTGCCCTTAATCGCAGACTCGTCTCTCCAGTCCTGGAATGACAGATTTATTTCCAGGTCTACTAAATCGTTTTTGTTTTTACGTGGGCGATACTTGAGTTTATTTAGCCCTCCCCAAGATGGCACCATTCTTTTCCATCACCCAAGTCTTCCCACTCAAGATGGTGTCCACTGCAGTATAAAGCTATTTTCAGTCCTTCTCAAAATCGCACCAATACACTAGCTCTTACCTTCCTGCCCTCCTCAAGATGATCGTTAATTATTAATTTCCGTTTCCAGGGATACCGCCCCCACCTCCACCGACCTTCTCAAAATGGCGGTACACTAACTATGTACCGCAGACTGACTTTTTCAAGATGGCTCCGAGGTCGTAAGTTTACGTCGTAAAGTCACGCAAATTTAGCGTCGCTAACCGAGACACTTCCGGTTCCGCCGTCGGCTAGCTCCCGAGGCCTGACAGGAATCAGAGAGGCTCCGTCTTGGGACAGGATACGTGGACGCCAAGATGGATCGGAGAAAAAAGCCTCTGGACGTCACGGCCTCCTCGGTGAGTCCGGGTGTGGCTTACAGCTGCGGACGCCTTTACCGGACGAGAACCTCGGCCTGTCTTCCTCCGTAGGCCCGGAACTGTGCCCTCAAGGGGACTCTGAGGGGCCTGGCTGGCTTGGCCGACCCGTTCCTCTCGGCCCCTCCGGATGCGGAGTCCTCCCCGAGCGTCCTCGTGCATGGAGTCCGGGAGCGGCGCCAGTCAGTGCGCCCGGAAGCGTTGCCGCGAGGGGGCTCCGGTGGGATGTAGGGCTTTAGGTCCGAACTTTCTGCCAGCTCTAAGCGTGCACTCTCTCTGAAGCCTCCCGGGTGTTTTAAGGACAGAGGTGCTGTTCATAGTTGCTTTTATAGATGATGACGTTGAAGTCATTTTCCACCGCTTGCATACAGACGTGAAGGGATAGAGCCTATGTCAGTGGGTCTGGTCGACTGCAGAGCTGTGGACTTTCCTGTTACGTAGGAGTAAATTGCGTAGAGTGTTAGGACGCAAAAGGAAAACATCTAAATTGTGTCTCGGGGTTTGAATTCGTTTTCTATTCTAATGCCGAAATTGGTATTAGTTATGTTTGTTTGATTTTAGAACCTATAAACCAAATTATAGTCAACCAATCCAGATAGGTTGAAGTTTTTGGTAATTACACAAATTGCTATCTAGGGGATGGATAATTTTGTGAGCGTTAAACTCAGAAGTAGAATAGAAAAATGTATGACTAGAGAATTAATGCAATTAATAAGACTTTAAAAAGAAGGTTAGTCTTTCATTTGTTTTTAAGAATTTAGAATAGTGAGTCCTAGAATGAAACTCCTTTATATTACTAAAATCCCTGCCACAAGTACCTTTAAATTGATTTCTTCCAAAATAGAAATTGTTGAACTCAGTCATTTTTATGTTTTTGATCAGCCAGTGATATCTGATTACAAATTTCTGTACATAATAACCAGTTTTACCAGGACCTTAAGAAAGGAACTTGCCGGGAGTGGTAGTGCACACCTTTAATCCCAGCACTAGGGAGGCAGAGGCAGGAGGATCTCTATGAGTTCAAGGCCAGCCTGGTCTACACAGTGAGTTCCAGGACAGCTGGGGCTACAGGGAGACCCTGTCTCAAAAAGACCAAAAAATAAAAATAAAAATAAAAATTAAGGAACTTGTCATATCTTATTTTGCCACTGTACAGTGGAGACTCATTCAGTTGAGAGATAGCTGCAAGCACTTTCCCAGCCCAGGAAGTCTCTTCCCTGAGCCCTTTCCCCCCCTATTCTTGAACCCTATGATTCCAATAAACTTACAGCTTCTAAAAGAAACTAAGTCACACTTGAAGCTGTACTTCTGGCATATGCCTCAAGACAGGGTGCTTTGTGAGTTAGTCGAATCTGAACCTGATCCTGTAAGGTTTCACTTGTTTAGTTGGTTGGTTTTCTGTCCTTGGCAGACAAAAGTCTTGAGTGTTGAAAGTTAGAGATTGTGTTTGCAACAGAACTACAAGGAAGTCTAACTCTGTTGAATTTTGTATTGAATTCTGTAAATTATATTTTGTATCTGTCTTCAGGAAGTTGAAATCTTATTTTGAGAATTACAGTAACTTATCCATCTTATCACCTGCCAGAATTGAATAACATATTTTGGTTTACTTACTGGTTTTATTCTAGTTGGTAGATCTTAAGGCTGAGCTCTTCCGAAAACAAGAAGAATTCAAACAAGAAAAACTTCTGAAAGATTCTGGAGCTTTTGGAAAACCAAAGACAATTAATAAGGTAAAAATAAGAACTAATTATCTCCATTGATTCCAAACTCAGGAGAATTACATTATACTTAAGTTTTTGAAAAGTGTCGGTGATATTGGTAAACATAAATGTTAAAGAAAAAAACCCTGACTTGTATTTGAACATTTCCATCGGATGTGTTAAATATTAAAATGCAAATTACTAGGATTATTTAGCACTCTTCTTTAGCATACATTGATAAGTGGATTGTTCAGTCTCATGGAAGGGTATAGAGGTATTCTGTATCCAAACAGCGAAACAGTAAAATACAGAAGTAGACAAAATATGAAGGCCTTGAAGAGTTGGGAATGGTTTTTGAATTTTATAGGTAATGGCATCTACTTTATCTGTGTTTCTGGTTTCTTAGTATGCACATGTTTGTTAGAATATTGATATTTTGTTCAGAAGAAAAATTCTCTATACAATTTGGGACTTTTTTTCAGCTCCAACTTTGCCATTGTAGAGTCTGTTTGTAGGAGATAAATTAGCTGTCAGGATGAATAGTTATCTAATGATTTTTGAGACCCAAGGACCTTCTCTTTCTTTTTGATGCACACAGCTAAGATAGTTTGCTGCGTCATGTGGTGGTTTTGTTTTGTCCTTTTGACTCATTCTTCAGAAACCAAGTATCTGGAGCAAGCAAAATGCAGGCGTTTCAAATCGAGCGGAGAAATACAGAAGTAGACAAAATATGAAGGCCTTGAAGAGTTGGGAATGGTTTTTGAATTTTATAGGTAATGGCATCTACTTTATCTGTGTTTCTGGTTTCTTAGTATGCACATGTTTGTTAGAATATTGATATTTTGTTCAGAAGAAAAATTCTCTATACAATTTGGGACTTTTTTTCAGCTCCAACTTTGCCATTGTAGAGTCTGTTTGTAGGAGATAAATTAGCTGTCAGGATGAATAGTTATCTAATGATTTTTGAGACCCAAGGACCTTCTCTTTCTTTTTGATGCACACAGCTAAGATAGTTTGCTGCGTCATGTGGTGGTTTTGTTTTGTCCTTTTGACTCATTCTTCAGAAACCAAGTATCTGGAGCAAGCAAAATGCAGGCGTTTCAAATCGAGCGGAGAAGGACGCTGAGCAGAAGCTTGAGGAGCAGAAGACTTTAGACAAAGCAAGGTACAGTTAAGCTCTGAAAGCAGGGTACCTTTTAGGCTGCCCAAGCAAAGAAATAGACATTCAAACTTTACTGTTTCTGGTATACAGAGTTGATGTATAACAGCCTTCAAGCCAAGTACTCTGTAAATATAAATACAGTGTCCCTTGAGATTATCTGAGGGATATTGGTTGGTTCTAGGACCCTCCCTTTCCTACAGATACCAAAGACCAAGGAAACTCAAAATAGATAAAATGGGGTAGTCTGTGCAAGCCTTCAGTATATTTTTAAGTCCTCTTTAGAGTTACTTGTTAGGCCTAATATGATGTAATTACCATGTAAGTAGGTGTTATACTGTAGTGTTTAGGGAATAATGCCAAGAAGGAAAATCTGTACCTTTTTTCCCTATAAACAGATACATAGTACCCACTAGCAACAATGTAACATTTTTTTGAATATTTAAAAAATATTTTTTAAAATTTATTTTTATGTGTATGAAGGTTTTGCCTACATTTTGTTAAGTGTACCAATGTCTTGCGGTGCTCCCGGGAACCAGAAGAAGGCATCAGATCCCTGGAACTTGAGTTGGGGACCATTTGTAGCCTCCCTGTAGGTGCCACAATCTGAACCTGGGTTCTCTGTAAGAGCACTGGTTGAGCCATCTCTCCAGCTCCTTGAATATTTTTATTCCCAGTTAGTTGAGTCTCGAGTTGTGGACTCCATACTCTAGGTATTGAGGGCTAGCTGGCCTCTAAAAATACTATAATTTGCATATATTTGTTGTCTCACAAAAAGGCAAAACAGTTTCAGTTTAGAAGATGAAACGATCCTGTTTTGAGCTTTTATCACATGCTAACTATATCAATAATTTTTAAAGTTTTGTCGTTCTGGGGTTAGAACCCATGACTACTGAGCAGCATCCTCAACTATCAACACATTTTTTAAGAAATGTCCCATGCTGGAGAGATGGCTCAGTGGTTAAGAGTGCTGATTGCTCTTGCAGAGGACCCAGGTTTGGTACCCAGCACCCACATGGGAGCTAACAACCATCTGTAACCATCTAGTTCTGGGGGATCTGATGCCTTTTTCTGACCTGTGGGCATTGCATGACATGGGTGCACTTACATACATGGAGGCAATACACTCATACACATTTAAAAAGTCCCATGAGCCAGGAGTGGTGGCACATGCCATTAATCTAGCATTTGGGAGGCAGAGGCATGCAGATCTCTGAGTTGGAGGCTAGTCTGGTCTACATGGTGAGTTCCAGGCCAGGTAGGGCTGCATAGGGAGACCCTGTCTCAAAGCAAAACAAAACAAAGTGTCCCATGGTATGATTATAGGCTAGGTGATGTGACATTAGTATTTAGAGACCCCCCCAACCTTTTCCCCCAAACCAAGAGCGTAGTTAAAAGAAGGGTAAAGGGAACATTTGGTAATTTGTTTTCTAAATTCATCTATTAGCAGGAAGCCACATTTGCTTTCCTCCCCCTTCTCTGCCCACCCCTGTAGAGGAAGACTAAATGTCATGGCACTTTACCTGTGAATAGTTCAGCATGTATCTTGTTAGAACAAGGACATTATTCTATACAATATTCAGTACTATTATGTGTACCATATTTCAGACTTTGCCAATTGTCGCAGCATAGTTACATCTGATAAAACTTTACACAGTGCATTTAGTTCTCAAATCTCTCTAGTCCCCTTTACGCCAGAATTCTTTTGCCCTTGAGGCAGGCACCACCATGCCCACGTTCTTTTGCCTTTTTGTTGTCAGTTACCCTGTTGACATTTTTAAGTATCTAGGCCACTTTTTCTACCATGTCTGCCCTCTGAGTAGGGTTACATTAAAGCTTTTGGTTAAGAGTATGATGTAATTTTTGTGTCCTTTCCAGTGATTTGTATCCAGAGGCTCATAATTATTATTGGTGGTAGTAAGTTTGACCACTTGGTTAGAATAGGTCTTATATAGGTTTTTCCACTGTGAAGGTGCCCTTTCACCTACATGGTTAATAGTAACCTGGGATGGGAAACTTTGAGACTGAGTATCCCACTCACTCACATTTCCATGCATGGTTTGTATGGTTGCTAAGTATTGCCTTTGTTTATTAGCTGGTATTCTTCTGTAGAGAAGAGATAATTTTCCCTATACTTAGAGAATTGCAAGTTGTAACATCTGTCCTGATGGCCATCTGCTTTTGTGCATGAAAAGAATCTGCCGCTTCATTGAACTGGGAAGATGGCTCAGTTGGTAAAGTGCTTGCTGCACAAGCATGAGGACCCTCATGAGTTAGATTCCCAGAACTTTTGTAGAAAGGCCAAGTGTGGTGGTGTGTACTTATAATCCCACTCCTGGGGAGGCAGAGACAGGCAGATCCCTGGAGCTCACTGGCCAGTCTGTCTAACATATTTGGTGAGCTTCAGGACCCTGTCTCAAAAACAAGTAGGTAACTCCTGAAGAATGGCATCTGTAACTGACCCTGACTTCCACATGTACAGACATACACACCTACACACTAACAATAAATTTTTTAAATCCAGTGACTATTTCTTAGACTCTTCCTTGATTATTCCTTTGTAAACTATCCTCCTGTCTGAAGAGCTAATTACACTGTCCCAGCTCCTTATGCTTTCCTACATGTTCTAGTCTCTGTCCATCTCTATTTTGCATTGTTCTCTCCTTTGCTTAGCACTTTCTGGCTCTCTGGCCTCTTCAAACACGATGAGCCCACTGCCCTTAATCTTTCCTTTGCCTGGCTTGCTCTGCTCATGCCACTCCACCCCATCGTCCTGTGGTTGGCTTCTTGCTATACAAGCCTTAGATTACTTGTCACTTCAGAGAAGCTCCCCCTGACTACCATGTCAAAATTAGCATTCCACCCAGTTACTGTATCCTGGTACCTGTTTTGCTTGTTTTTAAACTTTTATTTTGAAGTTTTCATTAAGACACTTAAGAGTCTATGATAATGACACAGCTTGTTCCATAAGACTCCTCCAGAATATAAGAGTTTAGCTTCTTAGATGTCTACATGACTAGCCAGCATGCTGAGCACCTTGTATGCATGGTGGGCCTCCACAGCAGCACCTGCATTTTTCTTCTTTCATAGCACTTCTCACTTTGAAATCCTTTTTTTCACCAATTCATTTGTTGTCTTTTCCCCCCTAGAATAGAAGCTCTGTGAAAGTTGGGGCTTTTTCTTGTTTCTCAGTTTTCTACACCTAAAGCAACTCTCAGCATGCGGGAAATTCCAAGGAGTACTTGTTGTTTGTTTAAAACAACAGAGTAAAGCAGATGACTCAGTTGCTAAAGTGCCTACTATATAAGCTTGAATTTGAGTTTGGATCCCTAGCACCTGTGTAATAGTCAAGGGTGCAGTGACAGGAAGGTGGTGGAGTGAAGACAGGTGAACCCCTGAAGCTTGGCCAGCCACTGTAGACTGATGAATGAGCACAAGGTGTTTTCAAAAAAACAAGCAAGATACCTCACACCAACCTCTGGTCTCCCATGCATAAGTACATATGTGCACATGAACCTGCACACCCAGGTACACACATATATAAGTACATACACCACACACGTAAGTACATACATCACACCCCAAAGAGCCACCTTGCTGGCTTAGATGATTGAAGCTAAGATACTTTGTGTTAACCAGTTAATTTTTGTGACAACTCTTAGAGGAAATAAAAACAGTTTTACTTTACCATCTGTCTGTAGGAACTGAGAGGCAGAAAGGTTAAGTAACTTGTCATAGCCATATGACCCAGGGGCTTTATGGTCTCTCTTCCTGCCATTAGAAATTAAATTTCTCATTATGATTAAGTGAGATCATTCATAAAAGAAGACACAGATGGTCTCTTTGGGACTTCTCTTTTTAAGTAATTAAAGAATTGCTGGCCCTCTTACCCAGACTGTCACTAAAAGATAAATATCACCAGAATTCATGTGAGCAGAGAGGCTGCTTTGTTGAAATGCCAGAGTTGTTTGTCTTTTAGTAGTAAAGTGCCATGAATATATTATTCATGTTCTTTTTGAAGGAGACATTACCATGTTTTTAACAAACTTAGAAGTTGGTCTCTAGGTCCCTGGGAGAAGTGACCAGGATCCTGGTCTAAACAGTGATGCAAATGAGCATGCCTTGAGTCTGATGATACCTTTTAGAGATATTACGTAGAAAAAGATTTTGTTTAGACAATTCTCTTTTTTAAAATATTTTATTTTGTATATGAGTGTATTGCCTGCATGTATGTGAGCGCACCCGTGTCGTGCAATGACACAGAGGTCGAAGAGGGCTTTGGATTCCCCTGGAACTGGAGTTAAGGACAGTTTGTAGCCGCCACGTGGGTGCTGGGAATCAAACCTTGGTCCTCTGCAAGAACAGTCAGTGTTCTTAACCGCTGAGCCATCTCTCCAGCCCCCGACAATTCTCTTTCTTTGGCGTGTAAGTTGTTACATTTAGCAGGTTGTTGGAGCCTTAACTCTGCGTTCATTTACCCATTCATCAGATACTTAGTAAGCAACTGCTATGCTGCAAGTACCCCTGAGGTCCTGGGGCACAGTGCTGCCTAAGAACAGAGGCCATGTTCCTGTTTTCATTGGTAAAATAGATAAGGTGGGTCTGAAGGTCTCTTCAGGAAAGTTGGTCAGTGTGAGCTGTGTCCATCTTTTCATAGCAGGCGTCAGAAAAGATGGCTGTTCTCAGATTTGATAGTGTGGGATCGTGTGGTGGCCTTCTCAGAAAAGACATTTGTAAGACCATTTCTAATGCTTGTGTTAGTCACTTTCTTGTTGCTGTGTTAAGATACCCCATGATCAAGGCAATTCTAGAAGGAAGAGTTTATTTGAGTGTATGGTTCCAGGGATAAGGGTTCATAATGGCCAAGGAGGCAGGTAGGTGGCCAGAAGAGAAAGCTGAGCAATCACAACTTTAAGCAGGCACAGGAAGCAGAGAGCAACTAGAAATCTGGCAAGGCTTAAGAACTCTTAAAGCCTGCCCTAGTCACGTGCTTCCTCCAGCAAGGCCGCACTTCCCAAAGCAGCACCACCAACCAGGTACAGAATGTCCAAATACTTGGAGCCTATGGGGGACATTCTCATTCAAACCATCACACTTGTCTTGTCTTTTTTCTAGGGAAAAATTGGAAGAAAAAGCCAAATTATATGAAAAGATGACTAAAGGAGACTTTCTAGGTAACTATATTTTTTTGTTTAAATGATTGTAAGAAGAGGGAGAAATTTAAAAAGTCAACTCAAAACTTTTATTTTTTTTTTTTGAGATAGGGTCTCCCTGTAGCTCCAGCTGGCCTGGAACTCACTATGTAGACCAGGCTGGCCTTGAACTCACAAAGATCCACCAGCCTCTGCCTCCCAAATGCTTCAGAATTTTACTTGCAATGATTATAGAGAGACAAGAAAATCAGCAGCAATATTCTAATGGTCCAGTGCATGCCAGACAGCTTGTTAGGTGATGGCAGGGAATAAGAGAGTACAGGGGGGCCAGATACTGCTGTCATCAGGTAGAGGACGAAGGCACAGCACAAAGCAAACCGAGGAACACTGTCCCTTCAAGTAATGGTTGTGGTGGTGCACGCCGGTAGTCCCAGCACTTGGGAGGCAGAGGCAGGCGAATCTCTGTGAGTTCAAGGCCAGCCTGGTCTACATAGTGAGTTCCAGGCCAGCTGGGGCTACAGGGAGACCCCGTTTCAAAAAGGCAAAAAGACACACAAAAAAAAGAAATTGTTCCTCAGTTTGCTTGGTGTTGTGCCCTCTTCTTCTTTAACTTTATGTTTTGCAGAATTTATGTGTGGAATATGTGCAGGTGCCCCTGGAGTTCAGCAGATGTCTAATCCCCTGGGGCTGGCATTATAGATGGTTGTGAGCCACCCGATATGGGTGCTGAGAACTAACTTAGGTCCTCTGGAAGAGCGGTGTGTGATCTTGAGCCATCTCTCCAGCCCCATTTAATTATATTTTTGTTTTTAAATTTTTTATTTATTTTAGTGTGTGTGGGTGCATGTGCGCATGTGCATGCTATGGCAGGTCAGAGGACAACTTCATGTGTTGGTCCTTACCTGCCACCCCATTTGAGACAGGGTCTGATTGTTGTTTGATGCTGCACACACCTGGTTAGCGGACCAGCAAGCTTCTAGGATTCTGTTCTGCCTCCCATTTCCCCCCAAGGGGTACAGGGATTGCAGATGTGCAGATTTGAACTCGGGTCTTCATGTTTGTGTGGTACACGCTCACTGAACTATTGCTTGATTTTATTTTTTCAGTCTTATATTTACCCAGTTTTGATTTTGAATTTTTCTTTTTTTTCATTCCTTACTGTTTTCTCCTCCATAATATTCTCTACTCCCCTCCTTTGTTTATTTAACCTTGCTTCTCTATTTCTCCCTCCCTGTCTCTTTCCTTTATCTCATTCACTTCTACTAAATAATTTTCAACTTTATAGCATATTTTGTAGTACATTTTGTGCTTACAATTGGTTTAAAACATTAATAATAATAAAATTTTCTTTCCTCATACCCCCAGAAATAGAAACCCAAATTCATAGTTGGACAACAGTAAGAGCTTTTGGGGGACATTGCACATGCTGTGGCAGGAGGCAGGGAAAGCAGATATGAAAACAAGAGGAAAGGGCTCTGATGTGGGGAGCTGGAGAAAACCTTGGGGTGCAGGGAGCATCGAAAGAGCAGATCAGCAGAGTACCAGGGCTAGAGCTCAGTAGTTCCAGCTCACCTTGCCTTGCCTAATTGGAACTGAGCCCAGGGGTAGCAAGTGAGACTTCGGGTCACTGTAATCTTCTTCCCAGACAACATGACTCTTCCCCTGCATGACAGGGAGTCTGGTGTAGAAAGCTCAGGCAGCCACAAAGTTGGGAACTGTGGGAGGCTGTGCTGCCCTCCAGAAGAGGAATGGGGTGGTTGTCACCAGGATGCCTCGCTAGCCTGCATCTGCACCTGGCTCTTGGAGGACATGCCTCTTCCTCATTACAGATAGTGTGCCACATTAAAAGCTTTTCCCACCTTTGATTCAAACTTACTGTTGCGGATAGCCTCAGTTGTCAACTTGACACACTGGGGAAGAGGGAACCTCAGTTGAGGCATTGCTTTCATTGGATTGGCCTGTGGCCATGTCTCTGCAGCATTTTCTTAATTGCTGATCTGAGAGGGCTCAGTCCATTGTGGGTGGTACCACCATGTGGTCTTCGGTTGTATTAAGAAAGCAGGCTGACTGCAGGCCAGGGAAGCAATGTAAGTAGCTACCTCCATGGTCTCTGCTTCAGTTCCTGAGTTCCTGCCTTGGCTTCCCTTGATAATGAGCTGTAAGCCAGATAAACCCTTTCCTCCCCAAGTTTGTTTTGGTCAGAATGTTTTATCGCAGCAATGGAGAAGCAAATTAGAACAGTTGTTAATATGGCAACCTGGAGGCTAGAAAAAGACTCAGTAGTTAAGAGCACTTGTTGCTCTTATAGAGGACTAGGGTTTGGTTCTTAGCACCTGTGTCAGGAGGCTCACCACGACTTTTAACTCCAGCTCCAGGAAATCCAGTGCCCTCTTCTGGCCCCCACAGGCACCCACACTTACATGCACCCTCCCCCCAATTAAAATTTAAAAACAAAACTGAGAAACCCATTCCAAAGGATTGTGGTTGGATTTTGTAAAAGGCAATAGGCTCCCCTCCTGATAATGTATATTGTGTCTGGGTGGTTCAGTTTTGGAAATTCTCTAATGTCTCCACTGTAAACGGGGATAATACCACCACTTGGTGATAGGGAGCCCACTGTCTTTCAGTGCAGCTTAGTTTTTAGAGAAGTCTCAAATCCAGCATTGTAGAATGTCATGTAGTATGTGAATAGAGGAGCTGTTCTGGGTTAAAGCCATGAATTTCTATCTGATGGTCCTGTGTTTTAGCTCCCCACATTATCATAAACCCTGAGGGCAGGCAGTATCTTGAATGTGTCTCCTCTGCAGAGCTTGACTCCAGGACTTGCCTGAAAACCATGTCCATGGTGAAAAGAACTTCTTTTACTTGTGTTTTCAAGCATTTTCTCCACCACAGACTGTCAGGGTTAGGTAATATAACTCGAATGTTTAAAAAGCCATGCTACAATGAAGTGAGAAAGTCCACTGTTGTGACTGGAACAAGGGCCAATTTGCTTCTCTTGGATGCCATTAGCTGTGCTTGCTTGAAATTAAATATCTGTGTTGTCTTAAAATGTCATTTGTATTTCTCACGCAGTGTGTTGATGATACAGCAGAGAAGTTGAGGCTTTGTAGAGCTTTGTGGCCCATGTTTTGGATGGCCTACTAAGCTTCCTGTGAGGTGCCTGGTGGCTTTGTCTTTGTAAATTGTCCAGGGGGTGGCATCAGTTACTGAGCTGCCAGGAAAGCCACCAAGTAATGGATATAGCCATTTCTTAATACCAGCTCTGGTTTTCTCCTTTGATGGCAGGAATCTGTAAATTGATTTTTATGCCCTAGATGAGGAAGTAGAAGACATGTACCTTGTGGATTTCACACAGAAGATCATAGACAAGCGCAAAGAAATGGAGGTGCTTGGTGCCAGGAGAGAGTCCCAAAATGCAGAAGAGAAAGATGATGAAGAGCTTTCTGAAAAAGACATACCTCCTCCCCAAGACCCCAGCGAGGAATGGTAGGTTGTGTTTGGGCTTAGAGCAGAGTGACATCCTCAGACTTGCGTTTGAGAATGATTTTGCTTGATGGCTAACACACCATTTTTCCTTATTCTGCCTGGGTTTTCTGTCTTCCAAGGCCCCCCCAAGTTGGGGTGGATTAGTATAGCAGTTATATAGAAATGGGAACTAGCCAGGCATGGTGATGCACACCTTTAATCCCAGCACTCGGGAGGCAGAGGCAGGCGGATTTCTTTGAGTTCAAGGCCAGCCTGGTCTACATGGTGAGTTCTAGGACAGCTGGGGCTACAGGTAGACCCTGTCTCAAAAAGACCAAAAAAAGAAAAAAACAAAAGAAATGGGAAATAGACACTCCAATGAAGAGGAAATGTCAGTAACTGCAAATTAGGACCAAATACTTGCTGTGTGCCTAGGGTGGTGCCGGGCCCAAGGATACTTAGGCATGTTATCAGGGCCCTTGGTCACAGGTTTAGGCAGAAGCTTTCTCCTTAACTACTGTGCTTCTAGTTCACCATGTCCTGGTTCAGATGTCAGGGAGAGTCTTCTGGTAAGTGGTTCCTTCTGAGAGCAGCAGAAAGAAGCTGGTGAAGTGGGCACAGCAAGCTATACTCAGGCTGCATTTTCTGGCAGTGAGGTGTCTACTCCAGTACTGCCTTCTTCCTGTATGACTTTGATCGAGTCTCTAACCTCTCTGGGGTTTGCTTCTATGTAACATAGAGGTTGCAGTGCTTCATTCCCATGACCATTTGCCCTTCAGCTCCCTCCCAGAAGTGTTACCACAAAACTCAATGAGAGAGCAGATATTTTGTAAAGTTTAATTATTGAAATCTTCTTGAGTTTAACCAGTGTGTATGTGAAGTAAACATTCCATTACAGTGATTTTGATGTCATTCAGGCTCTTGTTCAGCAGAGCTTGTGTTGCTTAATGATACACTGATGTTCTGACCATGTCCAGCTGACCATGCCCTCTTGCCTTCTCTCAAGTTCTATGTCCTTGTTCTGGGAGTATTTCTTAGAGGCTGTTCAGACTGTCTGTGGCATTTCCTTGGCTTTTGCTAGCTTCTGTGGACAGGCATTTATGAGTAAAGAAAGCAATCCCTGCTACTGTGGATGTCAAAAAACCTGCGTCTTATACTACCAAAGGTGTCCACTGTGGTCCATGTTTTCTTACCTTCTAAATAACTTTAAAGTTAGAGACCATTGTGGCATAGGAATATGGCTGCATGCCACATGGGACCAAAAAGAAAGCAACCCTTGTCTGTGCCTTTCTTCATTTCTAGTCTGCTTGCTTCCTCATCTGAACTCAGCACGCGTTTCAGTTTTGGGGTCTTAGTTTTTACTTGTAGTTGACCCACTCTAGCCCTTATTGTCACCAAAAGAAGTAAGCTTTTGGTTGTCTTTATATTCTACCTAAATCGTGTATCCCCTATGCACCTCTTCCCCTTCCCCAGAGCTCAGTGTAGATGGAGGGACTCAGCCCTCCGTGGATTGTGCGATTTCTCTAGGTTCCTGTTGGTTAGAATTGCTCTGTAAGCATTTACTGATGAATTACAGTCATTGCTGACTACTGTCTTCCCTTTGCTGGCTGTATGTTTTTGGAGACTTGTTCCAGAACAGAATAGCTGTGATTGCTTTTCAAGACAGAAATCTCATCTCCTTTGAAAGGTCTTAGCGTCTTTAAATTTATTTATTTATTTTTGCTTATTAATGCCTATATAATTATAAGCAATTTGCCAGCGATTTGAAGAGTTTGGAGGGCAATTGAAGGTGTCCCATGCCACCATATGGTACAGTTAAGGCACACTGCAAGCAGTTCTGATGCTTTTTTTTTTTTTTTAAATTAAGCTCCAGAATTATGACTGCTTGTAAAATCCTTAAATTCCAGGTGGTGGGAAATCTTTCTGAAAAAATACTGTAAATAATTACATATACCATCTGGCATATACCACTGTTTTGCTCAGTTGGAGGTTTTATTTCTTGTGACAGTCAGCTGTAGGACCATAGTAATGGATTCCCAGCATTCCATTTTTAAATCGCGGGCTAGCAAGGGAAATCAGCATGGCTTAAGGGATGAGATTGCAGACAACAACAAAGATACATAGATGCTGGGTCTGCTCTGGAATGGTTCAGCTAGCTCACTGCCTAGTGCGTGCCTGGCCCTTACTACACCCTGATACAGGCTGTGGGAGATTTCTTGCCTCTAACTACAAAAGAGAAAATTTTGTTTCATCATAAGACAAATGAAATGTTTTCATTTGCCTATGCTTCCTGTTGGTGAGTGGAATGCCTCCTCTCCACTGTGGGCAAAGAAGGAGAAAGGTGTGCTGTCTGTCTTCCTCTTCAGTAAAATGGGTTAGAAGATACCGTGATTTACATTTAGAAACGTCTAGCTCGCCAGGAAGAATTATATCAATTAAAAGTATGACAAGAGTAGAAAGTGAGGCCTGAGCACACTTCGAAGAGGTGAGAAAGAAGAATCTGGAGTACCAAGTCCAGTGGTCAAAATGCTGAAAAAACATTAGAGCTGTCTCCACGAGATTAAAGTGAGTTCTTTCATGCCCAGCAGTTTATGTATTGGTAATTTGTCTTTGAAATCAGAAACATAATCAATTACTTCCTACAGTTTCCCAAACTGAGACTTACTAGAGGGCTCTATAACCTTTTTGGGTGTTGACTGCTAACCTTAAGAGCATTTTCTCTGTAGTAATGATCCTTGGTAGCAAGGCCTTTGATGAGATTGCCAGCTCCCTGACGTAGGGCTCTTCATGTGTATACAGTCTTCATAACTCTCACTTTCAGGGTGGACTACGTGGACTCTTTAGGCCGATCCCGGCGCTGCATGAGAAAGGATTTGCCAGATCTGTTGGAGATGGATAAAAACCTTCAGGGGAGACTGTAAGTGTTTGATATGCAGACATTGACCTAGATCTGAAATGCAGCCACAGGGATTGTCTTGTGGAAGAGGCTGCTTAATGATTATTTGTTGCTCTAGTATGATCTTTTTTAATGTATAAGAATGTTTACTGAAGCCTTTTTTTCAGTGATTAACATGTCTGTAAACACATAACCTTCTACACCAAGAGAACAACCCAAATGATTGATTATCCTTCATTTACTGATCCCCCCCCCCCTCAAACCCATTCTTGCCTTGGGAACCAGTCTCACTTAATTGCCTAGCCTTGCCCTTGAACTTCTAGGGTCAGCTGATTCTCCTGATTCAGCTTCCCAGGCAGGCAGGCCCTGTTCTGATCATCTATATTGTACGGGTCCTGAAAAGATGAATATATTCTGTTTACTTGGAAGGATGTCTACTGTGGAGTTACAAATGTAGAATGAGCCCAGGCCTAGCTAACAAGCCAGCCTTTGGAACAAAGGGGTTTGAGAGTGTGCACTTGCTTTTATTCACTTTTTCTTTATATGACTTCACATTTTGAATAAAGACTTTTTAAGTACATTTTTAGTGGGACTGAAGAGATAACTTGCTAAAACATCTTAGTAAATAAAATTCCCTGTAGGCAACCTTTGTGTGAAAGGTAGAGAAGCTCCACCCTGTCTGAGTCTAGGTTTAGGTATCCTGTGGTGGGTAGACCTGGAGTCTGCACACAGAAGATACAGTAGAAACCTTGGCCACCTGCTAGGACAGGAGGCACTTACCATGTTAAGTAACTTCCATGTCCATGGACCAAAGGCCATCTAGAAAAGGCCCATGGTTTATCCTCCTTGTCTTGGCCACCTACAGCATGGCAACCCAGGAGCAGGCTAGAAAGGAAAGTGACTTGTCTTGAATACTAAGGCGAGGTCTCATCATGTTCACTTAGTAAGGCTGGTGCTTCATGTAGAAATGATTAAAACAGGGCCAGCAAGATGGCTCAATAGGTTAAGTACTTGCCACCAAGCCTGATGGCCTGAGTTCAAACCCTGAAACCCAGATAATGTAAGGAGAGAACCATCTTCTGAAAGTTGTCCTCTGATGGTATACACGTACATACAAACACACAAATAAATGCCTGTTTTAGGAACTATCAAAACAGTCGTATTGACTTTTCAGTGGTATTTTGAATCAGAAACCTCTGTAGGGCACTGTGATATTTCCTTGGCCGTGGTCCAAATCACCACACCTAGGATTGCTGTCCCATAGTGCTTACCTGAAGACAGTTTTTTGGTTTTTTTTTTTTCCTATTCCTGTATTAGTTTTGTTAGTCCTGCTAATGAAAAAACGTTATTATCTGAAGACATGAGGAAAGAACTTCAGCGCCAGCAATGGGAAGAGGAGGAAAGGGAGGCCCTGAGAAGGCCAATGGGGCCCATCCACTACGAGGACATTCGAGAAAATGGTATCGTTTTCTTTCTTTAAAACTTTGAACTGGGATTAAAAGTGTGGTGGCGCACGTCTTTAATCCCAGCACTCCCAAGCCTTTGTGCATAAACTGAGCCACACCCTTACTCCCTCAGCTACACTTACTTTCAAAACCTTTTTCCTTTTTTTTAAACTGAGTAAAAGAATCAGTGGGTAGGGCTGGGCGTGGTGGCCCCCGCCTTTAAGCACCCAAAGAGGCAGAGGCAGGTGGATCTCTGGGAGTTCAAGGTCAGCCTGGTCTACATAGTGAGTTCCAGGACAGCTGGGACTACAAGGAGACCCTGTCTCAAAAAGACCAAAAAAAACAAAAAACAAAAAAAACTTTGAACTAATGGCAAGCTTAGAGCCAAGTGTTGATATAGCAGGAACTCTGACATGGAAATCAGACTGAGCTTAAAAAGTGGAAGTGTCCCCTTTGTTCACTTCACAGCCCGAAATACTCATGTGGGGACATCTTCCTAACAGAGGCCTGCTAGCCCAAGAGTTCATTCCCAGAGAGAAATAGAGATGGCAGGGCTAGACAATAATGTATCTTATTATATTTATCACTTAGTAAATAAGCACAGTAGCTTAACTTTTAAAAAAATTATGTAAATGTCATTGTGTTTCTTTTGACATGTAAGGAAATTTGGCCCGAGTGTGGTTTATTGATTAGAGAAATCTAATCTTTTTAATAATTTTGGCTTCTTTTAGAGGCCCGGCAACTTGGTGTTGGCTATTTTGCCTTTGCCCGAGACAAAGAGCTGAGAAACAAGCAAATGAAAACCCTAGAGATGCTGCGTGAGCAGGTAGGGGTTAGAGTCGGTGTTAGGGGTTGAGTTGGCTTCAGAACTGTAGTAAATGAAATCAAAATTGATATTCACAATGCCATGGTGGGTTGTGTAAAGTAATTGCCAGATTTTGTGGTGTTTCAAGGCTCTAAGATTATGTTTGGGAAGTAACCTGTGCTTTGTTTTTTTCTGTTTTTGTTTTTGTTTTTTTAATTTGTTGTTTGTGTCTGTAATGTATATGTGGGGGCACGTATTCCATGGCCTGTGGAGGTCAGAGGACAGCATTGTGGAGTTGAGTCTCTCCTTCCGTCTTTCTGTTGATTCTGGAGATTGAATGTGGGTTGTCAGGCTTGCATTATTCGGTGACAAGCTCTTTTACTCACTGAGATGTCTCACCAGCCCTGCTCTTTTAAATCTAGTTCCAAACATGGTACTTTTGGGGTGAGAAAATAGAAAGTTGTTTAAGGGATTAAGGAGTAGACGAGAACTGGATAGTTTTTTTCCATGTAAAGGCTCCAAAGATATGCTGTGAGCTCTGACTAACCTTTCTAAGGCAGCCAAGGGCTGGCTATATGCCATATAGTGTGTCATTTTCAAGGGCTCAGGGAGAGCTGCTTAGAGGTGTCTTGGAAATCAATTATCCCTTTTTTTAGAAGAAAATTATTTCATCTTTTTAGGCAGAAATATGAATTTGGCTTCAAGCAAATAATTTTCTAACTTTCTATTCTGTTCAGACAACAGATCAGAGAATAAAACGAGAAAGCATAAAGGAAAAGCGAAAGGCTGTGTTAGAAGCAAGACTTGCCAAGCTGCGACAAAAAAAGATGAAAAAATCAAAGGAAGATGGGACAGAAGAAGAAAACAGAGGTATATCATGGCTTGGATTTCTGAACTTCAAAGGGGAAATTTTTAGTTCTATTGATGTGACACTAACAGGGTCAGTGGTATGGGAATTAGCCATTTAATTTTATCTTTAAGCAAGCAGTGTACTTTTGAGGTACTGCCAGGAGCAGATTTTGTTAATTAGTTTTATATTTCTGTTTTCTTATTTATTATTCTATGTGGTGTGTGAATATGGGCATGTGTGCCCTGGCACAAGTGTAGAGGTCAAAGGACAACTTTGGGGAGTTGGTTTTTAATTCTATTGTGAGATCCTGGGATCAGACTTAGACCAAGACCACTGAGCTTGCAAGGCAAGTGCTTTTATCTTAGCCATCTTGCTTCCAGGAACAGTTTTTACAACCAGAGTGTTTCAGATTGACACTCACATGTTTTTAGGCAACAGACAAGGATGCTAACAAATAATACACTGGGCTGCTGCTTATAATAGCAACTTAATAACTGAGACTTAGAGAAAAGTAAAAAATAAATCTGTGCACATATGTGAGATGTAAATACATTAAATTTAATATTTAAAATATATATTAAAACATAGACATTATGTATTTGGGGGACACCATGTGATGTTTTGATGCATCTAGTCTTTTCACATCTTTTTTCTTTTTATGTGTATGAGTGTATTGCCTTCATGTATGTGAGTGCACCCGTGTTGTGCAATGCTGCAGAGGTTAGAAGAGGGCTTCGGATTCCCCTGGGACTGGAGTTAAGGACAGTTCGTAGCCCCCATGTGGGTGCTGGGAATCAAATCCAGGTCCTCTGCAAGAGCAGTCAATGCTCTCAACTGCTGAGCCATCTCTCTAGCCCCCATCTTTCTACATCTTTAAGCCTCTCCATTATGTAATGTAAATCAGGGTAAAGATCTGCTTCAAAAATTTATCATCTTAATGGTTAAAAATATTCAAAATCCTTTTCTCTAGCCTTTTAAACTTCAGCTTTTTTGCTTATAGTTTTGTTGTTTGTTTTGATTATAATATACTCTTAAAAATTTAATCACAGAGCTGGGTAGTAAGATAAAGTTAGAGATAGGACTTCAGACCAAAGATCTGAGCTGTAGAAATTGATGTTGGAGCACATTTTCCCTGGGAAGCACTGTTAAAGCCTGTGGTCAGACAAGCTTACTGAGTGAGTTACAGAATAGAAGTCAAGCTTCCATAACTAAGCCTGCCTCTTCACCAAAAGACTCTGAGATGCAAGCCTATTTGTTTACTATAGCACAGAGAAGTGTGTAGCCAGGCCATCCAGGTTCCTCCTCTCTTGCTGTTGCTGTGGGCTCTCCAAAGTGCTGCTCTCTTCATGCTCTAGGGCTTGTACCTCAGCACCTGTTCCTGACCCAGTGCAAGGCCAGCCCAGGGGAAGTGGGGGTGGGGGGTGGGGGGGGCAGACACCAGCTTTTTCCTTGAGAATGTTAGTGGGAAGTTGCTGTCTGTGTCTTTATATCCCGGGCCATGCCAGCAGAGGAAGCTGGGAAATGGGCTCTCCAATGAAGTGAGACAGACTAGGGAGTGTTCTACAAGCAACAAGGGAAAAGATGTGTGAGTGTTCCTATCCCTACAAAGTCCGCCCCTCCTTTCCCAACTCTAGCGTTGAAAAAAGAAAGTTTAGGAATTTTGAAAGTATGTGTTTAGTTTCATATAAATGTGTCTATCATATGTTGAGTTCTGCACCGTATCTATTTTTGTGCTGTCTCCTGAACATCTAGAAGATGAGGAATGTCACTTCAATGTTTTTTTAATGTCGGTGTTTTTTAAAAATCCATTTTCTTTAAGATTTAAAAAATATGGCCCAAACTGAATGGCCTGTAGCTGGTTAAACCTCTCCAGCACCCAGACTCTGCTGCTACTTTGCTTGGGTAATTTTGGGAATTGATCCCTCAATTGTTCCTTGGGAAAGCAGGGATTACAGGGATTGAATCTCTCCAACCTGGGTTTTGAAGCTTCTCAACACTTTCTACATATTCAGCTGAGTTTTCCCCATTGATAAAATGGAAAGAAAAGAGTATTTTAAGATTTGGGTGATCTATTGTATACAAAGCACTTTAGGGCTGACAAGATGGCTCAGATGGTAAAGGCTCTTGCTACTGGAGGGTGCAAGCCTGATGATCTGAGTTCAACCCCCGGAATCCATGTAAAGGTGAAGCTGACTGCACAAAGTTGTCCTCTGACCTTTCTATAGGCACTGTGACACATACAAGCCCCCACATATGATGCCTCCCAACCCCCCATAAATAAATAAATAAATAGTACTTAACTGCCTCACTGTCTAAGATGTGCTAGGTACGCCATTAATATTGCTAATTACATTTACCTCAGGATTAGTATTTAAAAATTTTATAGTAATGAGGTTTTGTGTCCTTACAAAAATAGATGGAGATGTTATTGGGCCTTTGCCACCAGAACCAAAAGCTGTGCCAACTCCGCCTCCTGCTGCCCAGAACAGCAAGGTAGAAGTTATCATCCAGGAGAGAAGGGACACCAAGCCTGGAGTGCCACACGTCCGAGAGTGGGACCGAGGAAAAGGTAGGGAGCGAGGAGGCTCTGAGGTGTGAAACCTGTCCAGTGAGTGGCCCTTGCAAAGGCTGGTCTTCATTTTTGTTTTAAATTACAGTGTGATTCTGGAGCGGTGTTTATTTTTATTGTTTATTTTGTATGGTGCAGAGACGAAAGCAGGGCCTTGAACATGCTAGGCAGGAGCTCCACCACTGAACTGCACCTTCAGCCCCACTGAGTCTTTAGTGGTCCTTAGAGGCTTAATTAAGGACTAATCTCCAGATCCTTGAACTTGTTTCTTCTTCATACTGGACACTAGCTGTTTGTAAACAGGGAAGTGGGAAAATGTGTGTGATCACAAAAGACCAGGACCTACAAAGGCATCCTGTCCAAAGAATGATTTTTTTAAAAAAAAAACACTTAGGGAAGTTTACATTTGTGATTTTACAGCTTAGTGTGCCACTTTTCAAGGAACTGCTTTTAAAGTGTTCTGAGACACTGTTTAGTCCTTTGTTGAAAGTACCTGTGCTTCCGTTGTGTGTGCACGTCTTCCTGTAATTTTTTTCAGCATGGTACATGCCACAAGAGATCATTTCAGTAGCTCCTGCTGTTCAAGCTAATAAGATCCAAAGCTAAAGCCAGAAAAATGCAAGAACCATTGTTAGGAATAGACATGAAACACCTAATTAGATTTCCTTGAACGGGTCCCTTTTGTGTCCTCCAAAACTCAGCAAAGGACAAATTGGGTTTTGGTGTAAAACATCTACCAGATCAAGGAAGGAAAATGATCTGACTGCTTCATATCTCAATATTTCTCTCTGAAATGTAATTTGAGTTTTTTTTTTTTTTTTTTTTGGCAGTGTCTCCAGAGCTTGCCTATCAGTCTAGTCACAGAGCCTTCCTCTAATCTTTGCACATCTTCAAAAAGCCACTCCATTTTCTTGGCTTGTTTTTCTGGTTTGATTTATTGGTTGGTGGTTTTGTTTCTGTTTTTGGGTTTTTTGTTTGTTTTTCTGAGACAGGGTCTCTCTGTAGCCCCAGCTGGCCTGGAACTCACTATATAGAACCAGCTGGCCTCCATCTCACAGAGATCCACCTGCCTGTCCCCTGAGTGCTGGAATTAAAGGTGTATGCCACCACACTGGGCTTGTCTTGGTTTGTTGTTGCTGTCGTTGTTCTTAGAGAGTTCGTGGTGACTTTCAAGATATGTATATAAAATTATAAAATAGCTAAAATAAATCTGATAAATTCATTCATAGTTTCTAATACCCTTTCTTATTTTCACTAGAATTTTCCTTTGGATACTGGTCAAAGAAGCAGTCAGAACTCCGAGCTGAGCGAGATCCTGAGTTTGCCCCACCATCGGATTACTTTGTGGGTCAAAAGAGAGCCGGTCCTTTGGGTAGCCAGCCATGGAACAGACTGGAATCTGCACCCAGCAACCCAGGGCATTGCTCTGACCAGAGCCAGGAACCTAGCTCTCCATATAAGCCATCTACTACTGCCTCTGAAATCCCATCACAAGCCCCCACAGTAACTTTCCAAAGTCTGGATGATATGATATCATATTATAAACAAGTCACATGACCTTGAAAAGCATTCTGACTTGAATTTGTGTCATCAAAGGTGGGGAAAGGACTGAGTTGTACCTTTGTCCTCCTGTTCTTTCCCTGGACTGCTTGGGCTTGAGGCCAGATTAGTCAGCAGAGGACGGAATGGTACAATGGGAATTCTTTGACTACTTTACTGTTTAGCTGTTCATTTCTTTTTTCTTTTTTTTTTTATTTTTTGGTCTTTTTCTGAGACGGGGTCTGTTGGTCTAGAACTCGCTTAGACCACGCTGGGCTCAAACTTACAGAGATCGCCTGCCTCTGCCTCCTGAGTGCTGGGATGACAGGTGTGCTTCGCCATTCCAGGCAGCTGTTCATTTCTTACTGCTTGGGGTAGAGGGAATTTATCTGCTTCATTCCATGCTGGCCCAGTTGTAATTTATTGGAGTTTTCAGTTGTGAGAACTGTGAAATATGCTGCTAAGGAGCTTGTAACCCTGCTTCACACACTCCATGACTTAAAGGCTCCATTCCATTCCTTTTGAAAACACTATCATGCAGGTGTCCACTCCACGGATTAAGCTTCCAGGTCAGTTGATGGAGTAAGATCCGGAGTTTGTACCTGTCTAACGGCCAAATGAGAGACTATTATAGGAGGCAAAGTAGGAAAGAAGTTGGTGAAATATTAAACAGTCACACTTGAAATCCTAAGAGCAGGGAAGAGCACCTTCACAACCATAAGAGTAGAAGTTGAATTGTTTAATTGTCATACTAGCTTGTTATCTAAACCCCTGTACACTCCGTCACCTGCTAAGTTGAGCTAAATAACAGTTGTTCCTGGAGGCTGCTAGTCCTGGCCAGAAGCCAGTGCCCCTTAGCTGTATCTCTGAGAACTTTTCATCTTGTCCTACCCTCCTGCCCCAGTGCCCCCTGTGGTTCCCTCTGCTTGAGGCTCCGTACTCTAGAGCCTAAGTAGATTAGACTTGAGTGTGTCAGATGGGCTGGGATCCAAAGGACATCACTGGATAGGGACCTCCCTGTCTCCTGCCTTTTTAGAGAATTCCTCCTACAACTGCAGACAAGTAGTCAGGAGTTGGCTACCAGAACCTCAGGAAGAGTGGGTCCCTTTAAGAACTCAGGGACTCTCCAGAGGCCTGAAAGAATGGGAGAGAGGAGGAAGGGAAGACAACTTACCTCTTTTGGGTCTCTTTGATAGCCCTGCCTCTGCTCCACAGCACTGCAGTGTGAGCTGAAGTGTCCCATTCTCACTATATATGACCCACTGGAGTGTGGAGAGGGTCAACCCCTGGCTCAAGGTCATGTGGCATCTAAGTGACAGAGCAGGATTTAAACACAACTTCTAACCTCTGAACTCATGCTTTTCCCAGCACCTTCTGCTCCCTGTCTTGTGACCCCAGTATTAAAGTTTAGATAAGATCCAATTCTTAGAAAGTTACTTCTGAACTCCAAAGCAAGGGCAAAATTGCCAGACCTAATTGTTAAGTCTAGGCAAATACCTCTTAATAAATACACATTGAAACTCACCTACCTCCACTG